TTATCTTCATAATTAATTCTACTGCAGGGTCTTGGCTTTAATATCTGTCAAAGGCAGGGGAAGTTGTGTTTAATATGGTTTTCTCCAGCGTCTTAATCATTTATTACTCAGGGAAAATACACATGATAAATAACACTGGTATTTTTGTAACACTAATTTTTCTTTGAAGCACTTTTGGCCGTTTCTTTAACTGTGCTATAGAAATAATATTGACTTGACTTACAAATCAACCTGACTAACTTCAATATCAAGGGATTGTAGTGGCAGTTTTTCCATGTCCTGTAATTGCCGTTACTGCACAGGTGGAGCAGAGTGAACCAACGCAGATCAAAAAACAGAATCTCCAGTCCTAGTTAGTGGATGTTTATTTGATGATGCACATGCAAAATAAATACAGCGGTTTTCCGACTGTGAATTTGGTATCTGTGCAGGCTTGATGCTGGTCTGCTGCTGATCTGGTGAGAACTGTTGGCTCTCCCCCTACCTGTGCCCTCCTCTTCCTGTCAGCTGTGCCCTCTACATGTGCACCCTGTGTCCAATTACCGCCACCATGTGTCCAAACAATAATGATAATAATAATAATCCATATAAAATTACTTGCCGACAACAAACATAAGTGGCTCCTACAGGGATTATATACTTTAAATCACCTCACTAATTAAAAAAACTTAAGTTAGAACCCTACATAATTATACATGCCAACGAATACAAAGAGTCATTGTGAGCATGCATATTGGTGACAACAGCTTACACAATAAACTGCGTTTATGTCAAGTCAGTGTCTGATTCTCTGTCGTCCATCAGGTTGCTCGAGGAGTGTTTTGTGACCAAGGACCCCTTCAGCCCGGACAAGGAGAAGTTTCTAGTGTTGGGATCCACCTGCAGCCTGTGCAGCAAGTGTGTCTGTGTTGGATCGGTAAGATGTCGTAGCATGTTGTTTTTATCACAGAGTAAAATGTGATCATTTCATTCAGTTTAACACATGATGCAGAAATGTTGGATTATTACAACTCGATCTTCAGAAGACCGTGTGACGCTGCTGACTGAGGGACAGTTAAACTAGGTCAGAGTTATTATCATCAGCTAAAACTGGAAGTATATTTATTTTCAACACTACTCTTGTTATGCACTTAACAAAAATATAATCCCAAGTCTTGTTTGCTGACTTGGAGAAAAAGTTCAGGAACTTATTTTTGTTGTTGTGGTTCGAAAAAGGGTTAAATGTAGCAAATTGTACACAAAAAGTTCTTGAGATGTTCAACAAATTTCTGACCTTTGAGTTTATCCTCATCCTAGTCAGATGTGGCTTTAAAGGACAATTAACAGATGGTGTTAAACAGTACACTGACACTCCAGTGACAATAAAAAAAGGGCTGCTGGATGCTGCATATTGATTTTGGCAAGATGCTTGAATGTCCACAACATTTATAGTCTTAAAAAAAAAGTTTCAGGCAGCTTTGGATGTCTGAAAAAGTAATTCTGTCCCTGAAAAACACCTACCAGCTCATCTAAGCCCTTCAGGTGGAGTAGGAAATCATGATGCTCATAGTAGACACACCATAGAATGAACAGACTTGAATAAAACTGTTGATATCTTGGTTCAGGATAGTTTTCCAGCTTGACTTGACCTTGAACAGACATCTCTCTAGTGGAAAAACATGCATCTGTGCTTTTTATGTTTCCCTCAGAAGACTTTATCATCATGTGCCGACTGGAGCGCTTCAGCACCGTGAAGCTCATCGAATCAATTAATGCAGTTTCATACATAGAAAAATAAAAATAAAAGAAATCCCCTGATCTTGGGATGAATGTGATCAGTCACACCTAGTTGTTGTTGTTGTTGTTGTGTGTTGAACTCTGCTCTCCTCTTCTCTCAGGACTGCAGCCTCTTCTACACCAAGAGGTTCTGCATGTCGTGCGTGAACAAACACTTGGACCAGTTCCCCCGACAGATCCAGGCCGAGCTGGCTAAGAAGAAGCAGAGCTCCAAAGCTGCCGTCTCATGACACCAGACCAGAGGTGCATAACCTGCTGCACCAAAACGTCTTGAGTACATTTAGACATAAATAGAGCAAAACATGTGTAAAGGTGTGCTGCCAGAGTCCCTAATCAAAACCAGACTGGACCAAACTGCAAAAACAGCACGTTGGTGAAACAAAACCTCGTGTAGTTTATTGTTGTTGCTCTGGGTTATTATTAATTTGGCAGGAAATTAACACCACCCACCAGAAAAAATGCTGTTTTATGCTTGTGGCCGTTCTACTGCTGTGTTATTCTACCCAGTGTTATTTATTTATTGTAAAGGGTTTTATGGGAGGAAGCAGCAGGTCTGACTTTCCAGAGATGTTTTTAAAAATATGACCTTTTGCTACGAATACGCCTTGAGGTGCACAACTTTTTCTATCCTTTCTGTTTGCGCTCGTAATCAGATATGGATGCACGGTGTTAAAGTCAGTTATTGACTTTTTGCTTGTGCAGCCGAGTTCAGTAACTATTCTTGCATCCCTGCAGACATTTTCAGCTATAAATACGTGACTCAGTCCGGTGTAGTAACTGTGTAACTAGAGTTTGTTTTAGTGACTGGGTCTTGCAAGGTTGCATCATCCTACTGGGGCTGAAAACACACACTTTACAGCACAGTCCCTGCTTCCCAACATCCAAAAATGGCTGAAATAATCCAACGCAGGCACATAAACACATGTTTTAAAACGGTATTAGGATGTTACGCGATTATTACCTGATGGAAAAATCTCAACAATGTCTCAGCTGACCTGTAATAAAACAACGAAACTTCCACCTTAAGGTTTCACACTTGTTGCTCACGCTGCCTGTTTTCTCTGAAGCTACAACAACTGTGAAGGAAAGCGTTTGCCCGTTCTGCATCTGAGACCTTAACAAAATGTTCTCTCGCCCTTATTTCTCGCTCGGCCGTCTAATCAGTTTGATCAAAATGTGCTTTGGGTTCAGGGATCACCCTGTTGCAGCGCCGTGCACAGTTTGCAGCAGCATAAACACATTATGGATTAAGTGTGATCCCGTCGATAGCATCTATATAACAGATGGCCTCGCTGCAGTTATCACGAGATGTTTGAGTCTTTTCAAGGGTTAATTGAAACAGCATGGCCTTAAAGGCAGGCCCAGTGTTTTTTCTTTTTCTTTTTTTTTCTTCTTTTTTTTCTTCTTTTACTGGCAAATGCTGCAGCGGAGGAATGTAGATGACACTCGCTGTGGAGTTGAAGTTGGGACATTGTGAACTTCTGGGCATGTAGCGCTCACTGTTTTTCTTCCATTAGCACTAAATTCCTATACGGCTCTGGGATGTACAGAAAATAAATCCGATAAGCCTCGATGTGAATGCCAGATACATTCTTAGGCTCTTTTTTTTTTTTCCTCTTCTTCTTTTTGTAAGATGCAAACTCAAAGCTGCATCGCTCTCAGATTCCTGTGTTTCACTTGTAAGTAATTACAACCAGCGGAGCACAAACCAGCCCTGTGGCACCAGTGGCAAAGTCTGACAGCGATAGGCACCCTGCCAACGGTGACGGAAGGCTTCTGCTGGAGACCTGATGTCACTGGAGGCAGATTTGAAGCGTTTTTTTTTTTCTTCTTCTTGTTTTCCTGCATAAAAAAAAACCCCACACAGTGTCACAGTATCCTCCAGTAACCTCGGAGCTGCAGCTGAATAGACTTTCACTGATTGAATCAAGTGTGCCTAAGCCGTTTATGTGGCACCAAATCAAATCAAGCGGCGATATCTGTCAGCGCTCATCCACTGATCCGATGATTGATTCATGTGATAGTACTAGCAGCCTGCAGCAAGACCTCAGAGATAAATCTCTGCGCAATCAGGTGTTAACTGTCAATTATCAGTTTGGTTTTGGTCGAAGTTTTCATGTCGCTGCTTTGACAAATCACCTGCAAATGGAAACATGATAACACCTGCAACCTCACGCCTTCCTCGTGTGTTTGACTAACATATTAATTAGTCCATATTCATGCACCGAGCGGCTGCAGCTCCGTGTTGTTGTTACCCCTGTTCAACTTTAAGAGCGCTATGGGCGGTCCTAGCGCGCAGACCAATGAATCGCCTTCTCTGTTTAAATAGTCCTTGATGTCAACTTTTCTTCTTCACTCATAGCTCCCTCTAACGCCATGTTGGCTGTTATGACTTGATGTGTTTTCATCTGCCTTACTACGGACTTGACAGGAGTGGCTCTCTTAAACCGCCCCTGCGCCTTTGGAGACGCATTATTCCATCTTTTTCGTGTTTGCGCGTAACGCGTTTTGGATGATACGCGCGGAGTATGCATGCACCATCCCTGTTACTTCGCATTTGAGAGGATTACTACTTGGAAATAGCAGTTCGAAACGGTGTTGTTTTTTTTTTTTCCTTTTGCCCCTTGTGTTGTTGCGTTTCTTGTCATATGTGCAACAAAATGTCAGATGTTCGCCTTTCTAATGCGAGCCCGACATTGGAGAGGGTGGATGCGCGGCAGCCGGATAACGTCAGACCTCCGGTGCGCAGAAATCTTTTTGGAAGACCTGACCGAGAGGAGATACGGAGGTACGTGACGGCCGCGGTGCAGGAAGATGTGCAGGCTTTCGCGGAGAGGTATAACTTCGACCCGGTCGCCGAGAGACCGCTCGCTCCGCGCAACTACGACTGGCAGCAGGACAGCAACGCACCGGAATTTTATCTCCGACCGCCTCACACGAGCCACCGGCCCCAGCGAGAGGTAGACTCGCCCAACGGGGACGAGCGACGGGATGGCGAGGAGGAGACGAGTGGAAGGCGGACACATCGCCAGCGAAACGGGGGCGACTCGCGGAAAAGACGCTCAGAAGATTCAGGTGAGGAAGCTTGACTTTGTTCGAGCTGTCACACTTTTTTTTTTCTTTTTCTTTTTTTTTTCTTTTGCTGGTTGCGCGTCTGAGAGGCTCCGGAGTTCAACCGCTGCCTTCCATCGGTTGTCTTCTGTGGATTATTAAATTTGGCACCGTTGCGCACATTTGCTTTGGATCTCTAATGCGCCATGTTGCAGTTTTGCACACAAATTTGGCAGCTTGTGTGATTTTTTTTTCGGTGCTTGTTGATTTAAAAAAAAAAAGGTGGACACTTTCTCGACACTCTTGACAACTTTTCCCGTTTTTTTTCACGTCTGCCAGGTTCTTGCTCCGACGAGAGCCAGACTAAAAGGTCGCATTCCGACGAAGATGATGATGAAGACCAGTCGGACGGTGCAGGAACTCAGGCCGTGCAGATCAGAACCAACAGGCCAGAAAACTGCGCGGAGGTCCAGTGAAAAAAACAACAACAGTGCCAGGTTAGAAAATCCTCTACTTTCCTGACTTTGAATGCACAATTTTACGCACAAACAACTCTCTTCCCTGCATGCAGCACTAACACGTCACCAGCTCTTCAAACTTGCATTTCTTTTTTTTAAATCCTCTCCAGCTATGACTGTTCTGTGCATGGAGGGATATTCAAGCATGAGCAACTGCTTTTTCAATTGCACCATTCAACAGTCCGTTTCCTCTTTATGTCCCACAGAGCGAAGAGAGACCTGTTGCTGTTGGAATACTGTAGCCTTTCTCATCATCTGACAAGAGTAGAGAGAAAAAAATATATATTAAAGGAGAAAAAATATAAAAAAAATAAAAAAAGCAGCCTTATCCTACAGAAGGGAGGAGGACAAGGCTGCACAAGCACTGAATATGTACACTATCAAGTTTTGGCACTCATATTAAGTAAATTGCCTCAGAAGCAGCAGACAATGTAGCAGTGTGCAAATGGATTTTTGCTCAAATTTTCTTTTCTTTTTTTTTTTTGTATCTACTACCTATGTTTAAGATGTAGCACATAAGAAAGCATATTATGCTTTTCATACCTTTTTTTTGTTGTTTAAATAAGTGTGTAAATTTGACTCGGGAAGTTGCAGTGCAATTTTCCAGCAGAGAGATATTATTTTGTTATAGTGGTCATTTGTATCATTATTCAGGTAATTGACGTAAGTTAAAAAGAAAAAAAAAAAATGAAAAAAAAATGCAGATTTCAAAAAGTCAGGGTAACCTGGAGGCAGAATGTCTCCACTTTTTCTGTGGCTTTATTTTCCCAGTGTTATATATCTTGTTTTTATTTTTTCTGAAGGCCCAGATGGCCACACTGTAAGTTGAGGGTCCATCTAACTGGGAATAGCCATGATAGGTAAAGTTTACATGCAAATAATGTCTCCCTATGTCCCATTTTTATGTCTTTCTTTTATTTTAAGGGGGTTTGCCAAAGTTTGTGCCTTTTTTTTGTTTGTTTGTTTGTTTCAGGGGGTTAGGGGAGGGGAGGGGTGGGAGGGTGGCTAAACTGCTGAGCAATATCCAACCAAATTTTTATTTTATTTTTTTTTACAGTATTCGCTAATAATCCTAAGAGTTTAGCTTTTATTTTGAAATTAGGCAACTTATTATTTTAGTGACTCTCGTGGTCACACATCCCATCCCCCCTTTGTAATAAGTGTGGTCCAGGTTAACATAGATAACATATGTTACAATCACTGGGCTGGTTTTTTTTTTCTATTATTATTATTATTATGCAAATATGTGAATCAAAGATTTGTCTTTGTGGTGTGGAATTCATGTCGAACATGTAATTGCACTATTGTTCATTTCTCATTATTTTAGTGAGGGCAGAAAAAAAAAAACAACAACAAAGTGACACCGCCTCACTTGGTGTCAGACTTTGAAGTGTACCTGTGTGCCTCTTTTTTTTTTTTTCTTTTTTCTTTTGAAAAACACTGAAAAATTATACTAACTTATTTATGTTGAGTTTTTTTTTTCTTTTTTTTGTTTTGTGGGTGTATGTACAGCTTCCCAAAGCGAACATTTTTGTGCATTTTTGTAAATATATATTTTCATTATTGTTTTTAAGATAAATAAATAAAATTGCAAAACTGAGCCTAATAATCGATTTTATGCCCTGTGTGTGTGTGTGGTTTTTTTTGTTTGTTTGTTTTTTTTGGCAATTTTCTTCTGTTTCTTCTATTTTCTAACTATTGTAATAAACACATATTCGCACTATTTGGATTGCAAAGCCGCTCCGCCTTCAACAAACACACTTTAAAGCAACTTGCACATGTAAGCTGGCAGTCTGATGACAGTAATTACCAAGTGTTACACAAAGACTTGAGATAAAACCACTTTAGATGTTTTAATTGTCCCCGGATCAGCTTTAACGTTACAACAGTCGAGCCACTAGTGAAGTAAAGAAACACCTCTCACAGTCTACAGTGAGGTTTTGGTGACATTTTTTGCAGCAACAACAACAAAAAAAGCAGCTCTGAGCTTGTTTCTGGAGCAGCTTGACTATTAAGGAATTTGCAAAAAAGGCGCTCTGTCGTCTTTGGAGCTGCAAACAGAATCAAATCAGTACTAAAATCCAGCACATCTCGAGTGCAGACGCGGCACCAGAGTGCAGGCTGTGACTGTGCAGAATCAGCCCAGCTCTGCCTCTGAAGTTGAAAACAACAAGGGTATGTCCTGAGGAAAAGACGAGGGGAAAAAAAAGTTTTCAGTTATTGACTTTCCCTCTCTCCAATCAGGGCCGAGAGAAGAAAAGCAGACCACTTAGGAGGCAGCCAGTCACATAGCTGTGGGAGGGAGCCTGGGACAGTACAGGCTGTTCTTTTCATGACACACACACACCACCCAATTAGTTTCATTGGCTGACTCTTTCCTGTTGATACCAGTGTGTAGGAGTCAACTGCAGAACGAGAGCGAGAGCTATTCCTATGATATCTCGTACTGGCTGTGAGTGTTTGTAGTAATTACGAGTGAGCTCATGCCCTTTTTTAAACTTTCAGAGACGGTTGTTACAACTTTTAACGTGCTGTTTTGTTGTTTTTTTCCCCTCAAAATCATGTTTCATGCATCAGGCTTTGCACAATGCCGCATCAAAAACGAGCACAAAAACACGGTGTCCTAAAGGAAACCCATAATTTATGTCTTGTCACTTGTACTTTGAGGAAGTTTTCAATCCTTAATGTCTGTTTGCATGTTCCCTGAACTTGCCCCTGTGGGTTGTTGTTTTGGTTTTCTTTGTTCTGTATAGAAACATTTCAGTCTGATTTGGTGGAAATAATTAATTTTTGCCTTTTTGCTGGATATCAAGGCGCCACTTTTTGTTTTTGTATTTACCATTTCAGTCATGGAGAAGCAGAAACATGACTTTTCAAGGCAATCTTAGTGTAAAAGGAGTGTATCAGTCCAGACCACACCTATTTCCATTTCTCAAACATAGATTTTGTACTTCTACGAAGCAGCTTTTCACTGTTTTCCGATCCAAAGTTTTCAAAATGTGTTACACAAGTTTCATCTGTCTCATTGTTTTCACTGCAATCGAAGTTTATTTGGCCTGGACATAATTTCTGAATCCAAAATGTTACTGCAGCCAAACTTCACACCCATAACAACTTTTTCATAATTCTGCTGATAGCTTCACACTATCGATGAGGCGACAGAAACGTGACACACTTAGACGAAACTGAGACATTTATTAGTAATATATGCTGACGACACTCTATTATTTGCATGTCGCGATTGATACTGAAACTGAAAGATACAAAACTGCTACATTAATCACAAACAATAAATGTTCTCTTTGGCTTTATCAGTGTTATTTGAGCCTTTATTTGTTGTTGTAGAATTCAAATTGTTTGAGTCAGGAAAAGAGTTACAGGTTATAAGTGACCTTTAATGAATAGCACTTTTGGTAAATCTGGGTTTTCCTTGGCTGGGATCTGGAACTTTATCAAGTCTGTGCTTGTTGTGTGGCAACCTTAAAGTGACTGAACCGAGGGCCTGTTCCGTAAATGCACAAAGAAAAAGGTGGGATTAAAGTCCAACACCTGACTTGAATAAACATAACACAACAAGAGGGGCTTAATCAGTTCCATAAAACTCCATTTAAGTTCACATAATCAGGCAAATTCGATACAGATTGAAGTCGTCGAGGTAATCGCGTGTGTGTGTTGTTTTTAAGGCGATTTTCTGTAAGCTTACTTTTTTTTTACACTGTAAAAAATGTATATTTGTTTTTATGAAGCAATTTTTTTGACAAATTTACCGTTATTTTACAGATTTACATTTTTTTTTACTGTATTTAAATTAGCAAAACATATGAATATTTGACAGATTTGCCATCATTAAAAAAAAAAAGAAGCACATTAAGGGTTAAAAAAATGCTAAATAATTTCTTAACGTTGATTAGGTATTTCATGTTTTGTAATTTACACATAACATCCAGTAACATTACTGCCAAAAAAAGAATTTAAATGATTTACATGTTAACAGTAAAACAAAAATAACAGGTCAAAACTGTTCATAATGTCCACATCACAAATCTGTATTTTTACAAATTGTAATAACTGTTTTACTGTATTTAAATCTTCTACAAAAAAGACATTCTTTTACAAATAGTTTACCTTATTTTAAAAAATGTATTATTATTATTATTATTATAATTTGATGTATTTTCTCTGGCACCGTTGCCACCAGACTTTTTTTTGTCTGTCGGCTCAGTGTTATAGGAACTCAGCTTACGCCACAATTGGCTGCTTTGCGTAACTAGTTTGCTAGCGTGAGTTGCAAGAGTAACTGAGCTTGTGTTGAATTTGCTTTATGGATGCAAAAAAATACAAACAAACAAAAAACCAGAAGTAAGTCAGACTAACTGAAATAACCCTGACTTATTTGATAAACTTGTTTAATGGAACAGACTTTTGGACAAGAAGTGTTTCAGCGTAACTAAAGTCCACAGAATGTAAACATGATTATAATATATTTGCGTGACATAAATCATCCTCTAATCATTAGTTGAAATGTTTGACACGGGAAAAAGGCTGATTTACCAGGAGTTCATCGGTTTAACAGTCTAGACCAGTTTGCTGCCAGAACCACTTTAAAACTAGCCCTTGATACCCATCTTTATAGCCGGCTCTACATTCACCGTCTGCACGCTGACCTGTAAACCAAACAAACTGAAAAATAACAGGAAAGCCTCAAATACATTTCCAGTCTGCACTCACTAGTCGGTAATGATATATAGGATATGACATGTAGAGTACATTAAATTACCAAATTATAGCCCTCTCTTGTCTATTTAAGTCAAATCTTTCACTTAAAGGAAAATCTTTTTTTACGGTCAACTGACTCACGACATTTCGCTGATGTTCGTTGCAAGTGACAGTGAGTTCCAATCACTGACATAACGGTTTCCTCTTCAGTCGCCCCGGTTTCCAGTTACAGTCTAATGCAAATAACACATGAAGCAGATGCAGTTTCAAAAAGCCAAAGCAACCGGATGATCTCTTCAACGGAGGCAGCGAACAAGTTAAGGTGTCACTTTAGCCGTTATCACCGACATATGTTAAGTTCTCAGTTTGACACCGCTGCAAAACATAATGTGACCAGGAAAGTCCAGCTTCTCAGACTAGGATCCGGCTGTTTGGGCCTGATGGGGACCAGAACCGCTAGGTGGTTACGGTTACATTTGCTTGTTGTCGACATGCTGGCCAAGAATCCCGGCAGATGTCAAACTGAGTCATAATCAACAGAATCAGAGCTGTGTAAATATTTTTTAAGGGTCGAAGCATGGAAGTGAGATTCAAACTTGCAGTACATCCAGTGGAAGTGGAAAAAGTCCGTCCTGGATTTTTAAATACGCCAGATGTATCTACACAATACAGTTGTGCGGAGAAGATTCTAATGGAAAGTGTCGGCTTTTCTGACATGTTTGGACTAGCAAACTTTCTGCAGATAATGATGATAAACTTAATCAAATGACACATAAGATTTAGTAGTTTTCATTATTTAAACGAATAAAAAAAACACCAGTGAATCAGAGGTTCCATCTCAGATGCCAGTGGTTACAACCTTTCTAGGTAGTGACGGATGGAGCCTGTCTTATGTAAATCTCTAACATCTAGGGTGTTCTCTTTGCTATTCAAGTGTGTGGTGTCATCATGCCAAGATCTAAAGAGCTCTCTGAAGCTTCCAGAGGAAAAGGTCATGGGAGGAGATTTAATAACATCTCCAAATGATGTGAAATAAATCATTCGACCGTGAGGAAAATCATCGACACTGACTCCCCTGGCAAGTTCGGTGCCATGAGTGGAAGGTCTGATGCAAGAAGGAGCTTCCAAGAACTCCAAAGACTCATCACAACATCTGGGGGTGACTCCTGCAGCTGTTGGTGTCAAAGTGCATGTGCCTACAGCCAGAGACAGACTGCACAAATTCGTGGGAGTAAAACTCTCCAAAGATAGAGTTCTTCAGCCACATTAACCAATGCAGACCAAAGACAACTTTTCAGGGAGAAGAACCCCACACCAGCTGGGAAACATGTTGGTGGAATTGTTGGTTCGGGGGTTGCTCCACTGCCTCCGGGACCGGGCAGCTTGAAATCATTGATTCAGCTATGAATTCTGCATCATATCAAAGAGCGCTTGAAGATAATGTGAGGCCATCTGTCCGAAAGATGGAGCCGAACCAGAAGTGGATCTTTCAACAGGATAATCCTGAGCGCGCGAGCAAATCCACCAAGGAATGACTGAAAAAGAAGAAACAGAGGGTCATGGAACGGCCTCGTCAAAACCCACACTGGACTTCCCCCATTTTAAGAATGATCTGAATCGGCAGCACGTGCAAGAAAGCTTTGGAACATATTGGAACTAAAGGACTTTTGCTGGAAAAATGGTTAAAAATCTCTGTAGGCCATTTTCAGAGACACCTACGACAAGTTATTTCTGCTAAAGGTGGCAAAACTAGCTGCTGATGCCAAGGGTGTAGCTACTTTTTCCACTGACGGATGATACTTTAATTGATATTTTTGTTTATTAGAAAAAGGATTTAATGTTTGCTTGTCCAAATATGTCAAAAAAGGCGACAGTTACTCTGGACAGACGTGAACATGATGC